TTTGTGTCAAGTAGACAAATGTGTAAATATCCCCCCATTTCTGTAAGTATATAGAGCGCAGGCGATAAAAGTCAGGCAGACGTGAGGTAAACGTCCTGTAGCTACCACCGTGAGCCGGTGGTTGGGGCTTAATGGAGGAGGTGCGGGCACACAGCAGTTTGCGCTCCTCCGACTTTGAGAAAGTCGCGCCCAAGCAAGCGTGAAAAAACACTCCAATTGACAACGTGTACTAAATAAACTAACCTTAAATAAACTTAAATACAGTTCAAGTATACAAAGAAAGTTAACATAGGTGGATTTCATGTAAAATATTGTTTCAAATAAGACATAGGACGAAATGTAAGGAAAGTTTGAATGTAAACTCACCCCGGCCATACTTGTTTACAGCTTGAAAACACTTTTCAAGGGTTAGCAGGCGTTTAAGACGTGTGGTTTTGACAGGGCCGAATGTTGTTGTGTGGATGTGATTGTCTACAACGTAATTTCCGGCTTGCGACATCATGGCCGACGTCCTTGGATACGGAGACAGAAAATAGCTGAAAGTGGAAAAAAATCACTTTGACGAACGTGGCGGAGGTGGGTATGGACGGAGTACAATGTGGATGGAGTGGACGTGTGCATTTCTAGAGTTTGGAAGTGATTACATGCTCCATACAGTGAAAAATAAGCGCAAAACATCAGGCAACGGCGCAAAATGAAATGAAATAAAGGGGACGAACTGTGAAAAAGAGGGCCAAGTTGAGGGTTCTATTTTTATTTGAATATGAGTGGTGGGCCGTTCCCGGAGGTACTGCAATACCGGGTCAACCCGTGATGAGGGCGGAGCAAGCTCCGTGGCACCTCATCCCATTCTAAAATCAGTTTAATATCGATGTCTCCATTAGGAGACGTATCAGATATTAAGCTGATAAGAACAGATACTACACTTTGATCTTAGCCAAAAGGCCGAGAAGCGATGCCGGTCGTCGGCTTGCGCCAGCCAAATACCTGGATACCCACAGCATCCCATTAAGGAGACGGATATTTACATCAGGCCCTTGAAAAAAGTCACCACCAATATTACACGCACAAATACACGCTATTTCAGACCACGGACGAGTGCGACGGCCAAATTGTAGAGATTTGTGGAGAAATTTCACCATTTGTGTCAAGTAGACAAATGTGTAAATATCCCCATTTCTGTAAGTATATAGAGCGCAGGCGATAAAAGTCAGGCAGACGTGAGGTAAACGTCCTGTAGCTACCACCGTGAGCCGGTGGTTGGGGCTTAATGGAGGAGGTGCGGGCACACAGCAGTTTGCGCTCCTCCGACTTTGAGAAAGTCGCGCCCAAGCAAGCGTGAAAAAACTCTCAATTGACAACGTGTACTAAATAAACTAACCTTAAATAAACTTAAATACAGTTCAAGTATACAAAGAAAGTTAACATAGGTGGATTTCATGTAAAATATTGTTTCAAATAAGACATAGGACGAAATGTAAGGAAAGTTTGAATGTAAACTCACCCCGGCCATACTTGTTTACAGCTTGAAAACACTTTTCAAGGGTTAGCAGGCGTTTAAGGCGTGTGGTTTTGACAGGGCCGAATGTTGTTGTGTGGATGTGATTGTCTACAACGTAATTTCCGGCTTGCGACATCATGGCCGACGTCCTTGGATACGGAGACAGAAAATAGCTGAAAGTGGAAAAAAAATCACTTTGACGAACGTGGCGGAGGTGGGTATGGACGGAGTACAATGTGGATGGAGTGGACGTGTGCATTTCTAGAGTTTGGAAGTGATTACATGCTCCATACAGTGAAAAATAAGCGCAAAACATCAGGCAACGGCGCAAAATGAAATGAAATAAAAGGGGACGAACTGTGAAAAAGAGGGCCAAGTTGAGGGTTCTATTTTTTTATTTGAATATGAGTGGTGGGCCGTTCCCGGAGGTACTGCAATACCGGGTCAACCCGTGATGAGGGCGGAGCAAGCTCCGTGGCACCTCATCCCATTCTAAAAATCAGTTTAATATCGATGTCTCCATTAGGAGACGTATCAGATATTAAGCTGATAAGAACAGATACTACACTTTGATCTTAGCCAAAAGGCCGAGAAGCGATGCCGGTCGTCGGCTTGCGCCAGCCAAATACCTGGATACCCACAGCATCCCATTAAGGAGACGGATATTTACATCAGGCCCTTGAAAAAAAGTCACCACCAATATTACACGCACAAATACACGCTATTTCAGACCACGGACGAGTGCGACGGCCAAATTGTAGAGATTTGTGGAGAAATTTCACCATTTGTGTCAAGTAGACAAATGTGTAAATATCCCCCCATTTCTGTAAGTATATAGAGCGCAGGCGATAAAAAGTCAGGCAGACGTGAGGTAAACGTCCTGTAGCTACCACCGTGAGCCGGTGGTTGGGGCTTAATGGAGGAGGTGCGGGCACACAGCAGTTTGCGCTCCTCCGACTTTGAGAAAGTCGCGCCCAAGCAAGCGAAAAAAACTCCAATTGACAACGTGTACTAAATAAACTAACCTTAAATAAACTTAAATACAGTTCAAGTATACAAAGAAAGTTAACATAGGTGGATTTCATGTAAAATATTGTTTCAAATAAGACATAGGACGAAATGTAAGGAAAGTTTGAATGTAAACTCACCCCGGCCATACTTGTTTACAGCTTGAAAACACTTTTCAAGGGTTAGCAGGCGTTTAAGGCGTGTGGTTTTGACAGGGCCGAATGTTGTTGTGTGGATGTGATTGTCTACAACGTAATTTCCGGCTTGCGACATCATGGCCGACGTCCTTGGATACGGAGACAGAAAATAGCTGAAAGTGGAAAAAAATCACTTTGACGAACGTGGCGGAGGTGGGTATGGACGGAGTACAATGTGGATGGAGTGGACGTGTGCATTTCTAGAGTTTGGAAGTGATTACATGCTCCATACAGTGAAAAATAAGCGCAAAACATCAGGCAACGGCGCAAAATGAAATGAAATAAAAGGGACGAACTGTGTGAAAAAGAGGGCCAAGTTGAGGGTTCTATTTTTTATTTGAATATGAGTGGTGGGCCGTTCCCGGAGGTACTGCAATACCAGGTCAACCCGTGATGAGGGCGGAGCAAGCTCCGTGGCACCTCATCCCATTCTAAAATCAGTTTAATATCGATGTCTCCATTAGGAGACGTATCAGATATTAAGCTGATAAGAACAGATACTACACTTTGATCTTAGCCAAAAGGCCGAGAAGCGATGCCGGTCGTCGGCTTGCGCCAGCCAAATACCTGGATACCCACAGCATCCCATTAAGGAGACGGATATTTACATCAGGCCCTTGAAAAAGTCACCACCAATATTACACGCACAAATACACGCTATTTCAGACCACGGACGAGTGCGACGGCCAAATTGTAGAGATTTGTGGAGAAATTTCACCATTTGTGTCAAGTAGACAAATGTGTAAATATCCCCATTTCTGTGTAAGTATATAGAGCGCAGGCGATAAAAAGTCAGGCAGACGTGAGGTAAACGTCCTGTAGCTACCACCGTGAGCCGGTGGTTGGGGCTTAATGGAGGAGGTGCGGGCACACAGCAGTTTGCGCTCCTCCGACTTTGAGAAAGTCGCGCCCAAGCAAGCGTGAAAAACACTCCAATTGACAACGTGTACTAAATAAACTAACCTTAAATAAACTTAAATACAGTTCAAGTATACAAAGAAAGTTAACATAGGTGGATTTCATGTAAAATATTGTTTCAAATAAGACATAGGACGAAATGTAAGGAAAGTTTGAATGTAAACTCACCCCGGCCATACTTGTTTACAGCTTGAAAACACTTTTCAAGGGTTAGCAGGCGTTTAAGGCGTGTGGTTTTGACAGGGCCGAATGTTGTTGTGTGGATGTGATTGTCTACAACGTAATTTCCGGCTTGCGACATCATGGCCGACGTCCTTGGATACGGAGACAGAAAATAGCTGAAAGTGGAAAAAATCACTTTGACGAACGTGGCGGAGGTGGGTATGGACGGAGTACAATGTGGATGGAGTGGACGTGTGCATTTCTAGAGTTTGGAAGTGATTACATGCTCCATACAGTGAAAAATAAGCGCAAAACATCAGGCAACGGCGCAAAATGAAATGAAATAAAAGGGGACGAACTGTGAAAAAAGAGGGCCAAGTTGAGGGTTCTATTTTTATTTGAATATGAGTGGTGGGCCGTTCCCGGAGGTACTGCAATACCGGGTCAACCCGTGATGAGGGCGGAGCAAGCTCCGTGGCACCTCATCCCATTCTAAAAATCAGTTTAATATCGATGTCTCCATTAGGAGACGTATCAGATATTAAGCTGATAAGAACAGATACTACACTTTGATCTTAGCCAAAAGGCCGAGAAGCGATGCCGGTCGTCGGCTTGCGCCAGCCAAATACCTGGATACCCACAGCATCCCATTAAGGAGACGGATATTTACATCAGGCCCTTGAAAAAGTCACCACCAATATTACACGCACAAATACACGCTATTTCAGACCACGGACGAGTGCGACGGCCAAATTGTAGAGATTTGTGGAGAAATTTCACCATTTGTGTCAAGTAGACAAATGTGTAAATATCCCCCCATTTCTGTAAGTATATAGAGCGCAGGCGATAAAAGTCAGGCAGACGTGAGGTAAACGTCCTGTAGCTACCACCGTGAGCCGGTGGTTGGGGCTTAATGGAGGAGGTGCGGGCACACAGCAGTTTGCGCTCCTCCGACTTTGAGAAAGTCGCGCCCAAGCAAGCGTGAAAAAACACTCCAATTGACAACGTGTACTAAATAAACTAACCTTAAATAAACTTAAATACAGTTCAAGTATACAAAGAAAGTTAACATAGGTGGATTTCATGTAAAATATTGTTTCAAATAAGACATAGGACGAAATGTAAGGAAAGTTTGAATGTAAACTCACCCCGGCCATACTTGTTTACAGCTTGAAAACACTTTTCAAGGGTTAGCAGGCGTTTAAGGCGTGTGGTTTTGACAGGGCCGAATGTTGTTGTGTGGATGTGATTGTCTACAACGTAATTTCCGGCTTGCGACATCATGGCCGACGTCCTTGGATACGGAGACAGAAAATAGCTGAAAGTGGAAAAAAATCACTTTGACGAACGTGGCGGAGGTGGGTATGGACGGAGTACAATGTGGATGGAGTGGACGTGTGCATTTCTAGAGTTTGGAAGTGATTACATGCTCCATACAGTGAAAAATAAGCGCAAAACATCAGGCAACGGCGCAAAATGAAATGAAATAAAAGGGGACGAACTGTGAAAAAGAGGGCCAAGTTGAGGGTTCTATTTTTTTATTTGAATATGAGTGGTGGGCCGTTCCCGGAGGTACTGCAATACCGGGTCAACCCGTGATGAGGGCGGAGCAAGCTCCGTGGCACCTCATCCCATTCTAAAAATCAGTTTAATATCGATGTCTCCATTAGGAGACGTATCAGATATTAAGCTGATAAGAACAGATACTACACTTTGATCTTAGCCAAAAGGCCGAGAAGCGATGCCGGTCGTCGGCTTGCGCCAGCCAAATACCTGGATACCCACAGCATCCCATTAAGGAGACGGATATTTACATCAGGCCCTTGAAAAAAAGTCACCACCAATATTACACGCACAAATACACGCTATTTCAGACCACGGACGAGTGCGACGGCCAAATTGTAGAGATTTGTGGAGAAATTTCACCATTTGTGTCAAGTAGACAAATGTGTAAATATCCCCCCATTTCTGTAAGTATATAGAGCGCAGGCGATAAAAAGTCAGGCAGACGTGAGGTAAACGTCCTGTAGCTACCACCGTGAGCCGGTGGTTGGGGCTTAATGGAGGAGGTGCGGGCACACAGCAGTTTGCGCTCCTCCGACTTTGAGAAAGTCGCGCCCAAGCAAGCGTGAAAAAACACTCCAATTGACAACGTGTACTAAATAAACTAACCTTAAATAAACTTAAATACAGTTCAAGTATACAAAGAAAGTTAACATAGGTGGATTTCATGTAAAATATTGTTTCAAATAAGACATAGGACGAAATGTAAGGAAAGTTTGAATGTAAACTCACCCCGGCCATACTTGTTTACAGCTTGAAAACACTTTTCAAGGGTTAGCAGGCGTTTAAGACGTGTGGTTTTGACAGGGCCGAATGTTGTTGTGTGGATGTGATTGTCTACAACGTAATTTCCGGCTTGCGACATCATGGCCGACGTCCTTGGATACGGAGACAGAAAATAGCTGAAAGTGGAAAAAAATCACTTTGACGAACGTGGCGGAGGTGGGTATGGACGGAGTACAATGTGGATGGAGTGGACGTGTGCATTTCTAGAGTTTGGAAGTGATTACATGCTCCATACAGTGAAAAATAAGCGCAAAACATCAGGCAACGGCGCAAAATGAAATGAAATAAAAGGGGACGAACTGTGAAAAAGAGGGCCAAGTTGAGGGTTCTATTTTTTTATTTGAATATGAGTGGTGGGCCGTTCCCGGAGGTACTGCAATACCGGGTCAACCCGTGATGAGGGCGGAGCAAGCTCCGTGGCACCTCATCCCATTCTAAAATCAGTTTAATATCGATGTCTCCATTAGGAGACGTATCAGATATTAAGCTGATAAGAACAGATACTACACTTTGATCTTAGCCAAAAGGCCGAGAAGCGATGCCGGTCGTCGGCTTGCGCCAGCCAAATACCTGGATACCCACAGCATCCCATTAAGGAGACGGATATTTACATCAGGCCCTTGAAAAAAGTCACCACCAATATTACACGCACAAATACACGCTATTTCAGACCACGGACGAGTGCGACGGCCAAATTGTAGAGATTTGTGGAGAAATTTCACCATTTGTGTCAAGTAGACAAATGTGTAAATATCCCCCCATTTCTGTAAGTATATAGAGCGCAGGCGATAAAAGTCGAGGCAGACGTGAGGTAAACGTCCTGTAGCTACCACCGTGAGCCGGTGGTTGGGGGCTTAATGGAGGAGGTGCGGGCACACAGCAGTTTGCGCTCCTCCGACTTTGAGAAAGTCGCGCCCAAGCAAGCGTGAAAAAACACTCCAATTGACAACGTGTACTAAATAAACTAACCTTAAATAAACTTAAATACAGTTCAAGTATACAAAGAAAGTTAACATAGGTGGATTTCATGTAAAATATTGTTTCAAATAAGACATAGGACGAAATGTAAGGAAAGTTTGAATGTAAACTCACCCCGGCCATACTTGTTTACAGCTTGAAAACACTTTTCAAGGGTTAGCAGGCGTTTAAGACGTGTGGTTTTGACAGGGCCGAATGTTGTTGTGTGGATGTGATTGTCTACAACGTAATTTCCGGCTTGCGACATCATGGCCGACGTCCTTGGATACGGAGACAGAAAATAGCTGAAAGTGGAAAAAAATCACTTTGACGAACGTGGCGGAGGTGGGTATGGACGGAGTACAATGTGGATGGAGTGGACGTGTGCATTTCTAGAGTTTGGAAGTGATTACATGCTCCATACAGTGAAAAATAAGCGCAAAACATCAGGCAACGGCGCAAAATGAAATGAAATAAAAGGGGACGAACTGTGAAAAAGAGGGCCAAGTTGAGGGTTCTATTTTTTATTTGAATATGAGTGGTGGGCCGTTCCCGGAGGTACTGCAATACCGGGTCAACCCGTGATGAGGGCGGAGCAAGCTCCGTGGCACCTCATCCCATTCTAAAAATCAGTTTAATATCGATGTCTCCATTAGGAGACGTATCAGATATTAAGCTGATAAGAACAGATACTACACTTTGATCTTAGCCAAAAGGCCGAGAAGCGATGCCGGTCGTCGGCTTGCGCCAGCCAAATACCTGGATACCCACAGCATCCCATTAAGGAGACGGATATTTACATCAGGCCCTTGAAAAAGTCACCACCAATATTACACGCACAAATACACGCTATTTCAGACCACGGACGAGTGCGACGGCCAAATTGTAGAGATTTGTGGAGAAATTTCACCATTTGTGTCAAGTAGACAAATGTGTAAATATCCCCCCATTTCTGTAAGTATATAGAGCGCAGGCGATAAAAAGTCAGGCAGACGTGAGGTAAACGTCCTGTAGCTACCACCGTGAGCCGGTGGTTGGGGCTTAATGGAGGAGGTGCGGGCACACAGCAGTTTGCGCTCCTCCGACTTTGAGAAAGTCGCGCCCAAGCAAGCGTGAAAAACACTCCAATTGACAACGTGTACTAAATAAACTAACCTTAAATAAACTTAAATACAGTTCAAGTATACAAAGAAAGTTAACATAGGTGGATTTCATGTAAAATATTGTTTCAAATAAGACATAGGACGAAATGTAAGGAAAGTTTGAATGTAAACTCACCCCGGCCATACTTGTTTACAGCTTGAAAACACTTTTCAAGGGTTAGCAGGCGTTTAAGGCGTGTGGTTTTGACAGGGCCGAATGTTGTTGTGTGGATGTGATTGTCTACAACGTAATTTCCGGCTTGCGACATCATGGCCGACGTCCTTGGATACGGAGACAGAAAATAGCTGAAAGTGGAAAAAATCACTTTGACGAACGTGGCGGAGGTGGGTATGGACGGAGTACAATGTGGATGGAGTGGACGTGTGCATTTCTAGAGTTTGGAAGTGATTACATGCTCCATACAGTGAAAAATAAGCGCAAAACATCAGGCAACGGCGCAAAATGAAATGAAATAAAAGGGGACGAACTGTGAAAAAAAAGAGGGCCAAGTTGAGGGTTCTATTTTTTATTTGAATATGAGTGGTGGGCCGTTCCCGGAGGTACTGCAATACCGGGTCAACCCGTGATGAGGGCGGAGCAAGCTCCGTGGCACCTCATCCCATTCTAAAAATCAGTTTAATATCGATGTCTCCATTAGGAGACGTATCAGATATTAAGCTGATAAGAACAGATACTACACTTTGATCTTAGCCAAAAGGCCGAGAAGCGATGCCGGTCGTCGGCTTGCGCCAGCCAAATACCTGGATACCCACAGCATCCCATTAAGGAGACGGATATTTACATCAGGCCCTTGAAAAAAAGTCACCACCAATATTACACGCACAAATACACGCTATTTCAGACCACGGACGAGTGCGACGGCCAAATTGTAGAGATTTGTGGAGAAATTTCACCATTTGTGTCAAGTAGACAAATGTGTAAATATCCCCCCATTTCTGTAAGTATATAGAGCGCAGGCGATAAAAGTCAGGCAGACGTGAGGTAAACGTCCTGTAGCTACCACCGTGAGCCGGTGGTTGGGGCTTAATGGAGGAGGTGCGGGCACACAGCAGTTTGCGCTCCTCCGACTTTGAGAAAGTCGCGCCCAAGCAAGCGTGAAAAAACACTCCAATTGACAACGTGTACTAAATAAACTAACCTTAAATAAACTTAAATACAGTTCAAGTATACAAAGAAAGTTAACATAGGTGGATTTCATGTAAAATATTGTTTCAAATAAGACATAGGACGAAATGTAAGGAAAGTTTGAATGTAAACTCACCCCGGCCATACTTGTTTACAGCTTGAAAACACTTTTCAAGGGTTAGCAGGCGTTTAAGACGTGTGGTTTTGACAGGGCCGAATGTTGTTGTGTGGATGTGATTGTCTACAACGTAATTTCCGGCTTGCGACATCATGGCCGACGTCCTTGGATACGGAGACAGAAAATAGCTGAAAGTGGAAAAAAATCACTTTGACGAACGTGGCGGAGGTGGGTATGGACGGAGTACAATGTGGATGGAGTGGACGTGTGCATTTCTAGAGTTTGGAAGTGATTACATGCTCCATACAGTGAAAAATAAGCGCAAAACATCAGGCAACGGCGCAAAATGAAATGAAATAAAGGGGACGAACTGTGAAAAAGAGGGCCAAGTTGAGGGTTCTATTTTTTATTTGAATATGAGTGGTGGGCCGTTCCCGGAGGTACTGCAATACCAGGTCAACCCGTGATGAGGGCGGAGCAAGCTCCGTGGCACCTCATCCCATTCTAAAAATCAGTTTAATATCGATGTCTCCATTAGGAGACGTATCAGATATTAAGCTGATAAGAACAGATACTACACTTTGATCTTAGCCAAAAGGCCGAGAAGCGATGCCGGTCGTCGGCTTGCGCCAGCCAAATACCTGGATACCCACAGCATCCCATTAAGGAGACGGATATTTACATCAGGCCCTTGAAAAAAAAAGTCACCACCAATATTACACGCACAAATACACGCTATTTCAGACCACGGACGAGTGCGACGGCCAAATTGTAGAGATTTGTGGAGAAATTTCACCATTTGTGTCAAGTAGACAAATGTGTAAATATCCCCCCATTTCTGTAAGTATATAGAGCGCAGGCGATAAAAAGTCAGGCAGACGTGAGGTAAACGTCCTGTAGCTACCACCGTGAGCCGGTGGTTGGGGCTTAATGGAGGAGGTGCGGGCACACAGCAGTTTGCGCTCCTCCGACTTTGAGAAAGTCGCGCCCAAGCAAGCGTGAAAAAACACTCCAATTGACAACGTGTACTAAATAAACTAACCTTAAATAAACTTAAATACAGTTCAAGTATACAAAGAAAGTTAACATAGGTGGATTTCATGTAAAATATTGTTTCAAATAAGACATAGGACGAAATGTAAGGAAAGTTTGAATGTAAACTCACCCCGGCCATACTTGTTTACAGCTTGAAAACACTTTTCAAGGGTTAGCAGGCGTTTAAGACGTGTGGTTTTGACAGGGCCGAATGTTGTTGTGTGGATGTGATTGTCTACAACGTAATTTCCGGCTTGCGACATCATGGCCGACGTCCTTGGATACGGAGACAGAAAATAGCTGAAAGTGGAAAAAATCACTTTGACGAACGTGGCGGAGGTGGGTATGGACGGAGTACAATGTGGATGGAGTGGACGTGTGCATTTCTAGAGTTTGGAAGTGATTACATGCTCCATACAGTGAAAAATAAGCGCAAAACATCAGGCAACGGCGCAAAATGAAATGAAATAAAAGGGGACGAACTGTGAAAAGAGGGCCAAGTTGAGGGTTCTATTTTTTATTTGAATATGAGTGGTGGGCCGTTCCCGGAGGTACTGCAATACCGGGTCAACCCGTGATGAGGGCGGAGCAAGCTCCGTGGCACCTCATCCCATTCTAAAAATCAGTTTAATATCGATGTCTCCATTAGGAGACGTATCAGATATTAAGCTGATAAGAACAGATACTACACTTTGATCTTAGCCAAAAGGCCGAGAAGCGATGCCGGTCGTCGGCTTGCGCCAGCCAAATACCTGGATACCCACAGCATCCCATTAAGGAGACGGATATTTACATCAGGCCCTTGAAAAAAGTCACCACCAATATTACACGCACAAATACACGCTATTTCAGACCACGGACGAGTGCGACGGCCAAATTGTAGAGATTTGTGGAGAAATTTCACCATTTGTGTCAAGTAGACAAATGTGTAAATATCCCCCCATTTCTGTAAGTATATAGAGCGCAGGCGATAAAAGTCAGGCAGACGTGAGGTAAACGTCCTGTAGCTACCACCGTGAGCCGGTGGTTGGGGCTTAATGGAGGAGGTGCGGGCACACAGCAGTTTGCGCTCCTCCGACTTTGAGAAAGTCGCGCCCAAGCAAGCGTGAAAAACACTCCAATTGACAACGTGTACTAAATAAACTAACCTTAAATAAACTTAAATACAGTTCAAGTATACAAAGAAAGTTAACATAGGTGGATTTCATGTAAAATATTGTTTCAAATAAGACATAGGACGAAATGTAAGGAAAGTTTGAATGTAAACTCACCCCGGCCATACTTGTTTACAGCTTGAAAACACTTTTCAAGGGTTAGCAGGCGTTTAAGACGTGTGGTTTTGACAGGGCCGAATGTTGTTGTGTGGATGTGATTGTCTACAACGTAATTTCCGGCTTGCGACATCATGGCCGACGTCCTTGGATACGGAGACAGAAAATAGCTGAAAGTGGAAAAAAAATCACTTTGACGAACGTGGCGGAGGTGGGTATGGACGGAGTACAATGTGGATGGAGTGGACGTGTGCATTTCTAGAGTTTGGAAGTGATTACATGCTCCATACAGTGAAAAATAAGCGCAAAACATCAGGCAACGGCGCAAAATGAAATGAAATAAAAGGGGACGAACTGTGAAAAAGAGGGCCAAGTTGAGGGTTCTATTTTTTTTATTTGAATATGAGTGGTGGGCCGTTCCCGGAGGTACTGCAATACCGGGTCAACCCGTGATGAGGGCGGAGCAAGCTCCGTGGCACCTCATCCCATTCTAAAATCAGTTTAATATCGATGTCTCCATTAGGAGACGTATCAGATATTAAGCTGATAAGAACAGATACTACACTTTGATCTTAGCCAAAAGGCCGAGAAGCGATGCCGGTCGTCGGCTTGCGCCAGCCAAATACCTGGATACCCACAGCATCCCATTAAGGAGACGGATATTTACATCAGGCCCTTGAAAAAAAGTCACCACCAATATTACACGCACAAATACACGCTATTTCAGACCACGGACGAGTGCGACGGCCAAATTGTAGAGATTTGTGGAGAAATTTCACCATTTGTGTAAAGTAGACAAATGTGTAAATATCCCCCCATTTCTGTAAGTATATAGAGCGCAGGCGATAAAAAGTCAGGCAGACGTGAGGTAAACGTCCTGTAGCTACCACCGTGAGCCGGTGGTTGGGGCTTAATGGAGGAGGTGCGGGCACACAGCAGTTTGCGCTCCTCCGACTTTGAGAAAGTCGCGCCCAAGCAAGCGTGAAAAAACACTCCAATTGACAACGTGTACTAAATAAACTAACCTTAAATAAACTTAAATACAGTTCAAGTATACAAAGAAAGTTAACATAGGTGGATTTCATGTAAAATATTGTTTCAAATAAGACATAGGACGAAATGTAAGGAAAGTTTGAATGTAAACTCACCCCGGCCATACTTGTTTACAGCTTGAAAACACTTTTCAAGGGTTAGCAGGCGTTTAAGACGTGTGGTTTTGACAGGGCCGAATGTTGTTGTGTGGATGTGATTGTCTACAACGTAATTTCCGGCTTGCGACATCATGGCCGACGTCCTTGGATACGGAGACAGAAAATAGCTGAAAGTGGAAAAAAAATCACTTTGACGAACGTGGCGGAGGTGGGTATGGACGGAGTACAATGTGGATGGAGTGGACGTGTGCATTTCTAGAGTTTGGAAGTGATTACATGCTCCATACAGTGAAAAATAAGCGCAAAACATCAGGCAACGGCGCAAAATGAAATGAAATAAAAGGGGACGAACTGTGTGAAAAAGAGGGCCAAGTTGAGGGTTCTATTTTTTATTTGAATATGAGTGGTGGGCCGTTCCCGGAGGTACTGCAATACCGGGTCAACCCGTGATGAGGGCGGAGCAAGCTCCGTGGCACCTCATCCCATTCTAAAAATCAGTTTAATATCGATGTCTCCATTAGGAGACGTATCAGATATTAAGCTGATAAGAACAGATACTACACTTTGATCTTAGCCAAAAGGCCGAGAAGCGATGCCGGTCGTCGGCTTGCGCCAGCCAAATACCTGGATACCCACAGCATCCCATTAAGGAGACGGATATTTACATCAGGCCCTTGAAAAAGTCACCACCAATATTACACGCACAAATACACGCTATTTCAGACCACGGACGAGTGCGACGGCCAAATTGTAGAGATTTGTGGAGAAATTTCACCATTTGTGTCAAGTAGACAAATGTGTAAATATCCCCCCATTTCTGTAAGTATATAGAGCGCAGGCGATAAAAAGTCAGGCAGACGTGAGGTAAACGTCCTGTAGCTACCACCGTGAGCCGGTGGTTGGGGCTTAATGGAGGAGGTGCGGGCACACAGCAGTTTGCGCTCCTCCGACTTTGAGAAAGTCGCGCCCAAGCAAGCGTGAAAAAACACTCCAATTGACAACGTGTACTAAATAAACTAACCTTAAATAAACTTAAATACAGTTCAAGTATACAAAGAAAGTTAACATAGGTGGATTTCATGTAAAATATTGTTTCAAATAAGACATAGGACGAAATGTAAGGAAAGTTTGAATGTAAACTCACCCCGGCCATACTTGTTTACAGCTTGAAAACACTTTTCAAGGGTTAGCAGGCGTTTAAGACGTGTGGTTTTGACAGGGCCGAATGTTGTTGTGTGGATGTGATTGTCTACAACGTAATTTCCGGCTTGCGACATCATGGCCGACGTCCTTGGATACGGAGACAGAAAATAGCTGAAAGTGGAAAAAAATCACTTTGACGAACGTGGCGGAGGTGGGTATGGACGGAGTACAATGTGGATGGAGTGGACGTGTGCATTTCTAGAGTTTGGAAGTGATTACATGCTCCATACAGTGAAAAATAAGCGCAAAACATCAGGCAACGGCGCAAAATGAAATGAAATAAAAGGGGACGAACTGTGAAAAAGAGGGCCAAGTTGAGGGTTCTATTTTTTATTTGAATATGAGTGGTGGGCCGTTCCCGGAGGTACTGCAATACCGGGTCAACCCGTGATGAGGGCGGAGCAAGCTCCGTGGCACCTCATCCCATTCTAAAATCAGTTTAATATCGATGTCTCCATTAGGAGACGTATCAGATATTAAGCTGATAAGAACAGATACTACACTTTGATCTTAGCCAAAAGGCCGAGAAGCGATGCCGGTCGTCGGCTTGCGCCAGCCAAATACCTGGATACCCACAGCATCCCATTAAGGAGACGGATATTTACATCAGGCCCTTGAAAAAAAGTCACCACCAATATTACACGCACAAATACACGCTATTTCAGACCACGGACGAGTGCGACGGCCAAATTGTAGAGATTTGTGGAGAAATTTCACCATTTGTGTCAAGTAGACAAATGTGTAAATATCCCCATTTCTGTAAGTATATAGAGCGCAGGCGATAAAAGTCAGGCAGACGTGAGGTAAACGTCCTGTAGCTACCACCGTGAGCCGGTGGTTGGGGCTTAATGGAGGAGGTGCGGGCACACAGCAGTTTGCGCTCCTCCGACTTTGAGAAAGTCGCGCCCAAGCAAGCGTGAAAAACACTCCAATTGACAACGTGTACTAAATAAACTAACCTTAAATAAACTTAAATACAGTTCAAGTATACAAAGAAAGTTAACATAGGTGGATTTCATGTAAAATATTGTTTCAAATAAGACATAGGACGAAATGTAAGGAAAGTTTGAATGTAAACTCACCCCGGCCATACTTGTTTACAGCTTGAAAACACTTTTCAAGGGTTAGCAGGCGTTTAAGACGTGTGGTTTTGACAGGGCCGAATGTTGTTGTGTGGATGTGATTGTCTACAACGTAATTTCCGGCTTGCGACATCATGGCCGACGTCCTTGGATACGGAGACAGAAAATAGCTGAAAGTGGAAAAAAATCACTTTGACGAACGTGGCGGAGGTGGGTATGGACGGAGTACAATGTGGATGGAGTGGACGTGTGCATTTCTAGAGTTTGGAAGTGATTACATGCTCCATACAGTGAAAAATAAGCGCAAAACATCAGGCAACGGCGCAAAATGAAATGAAATAAAAGGGGACGAACTGTGAAAAGAGGGCCAAGTTGAGGGTTCTATTTTTTATTTGAATATGAGTGGTGGGCCGTTCCCGGAGGTACTGCAATACCGGGTCAACCCGTGATGAGGGCGGAGCAAGCTCCGTGGCACCTCATCCCATTCTAAAATCAGTTTAATATCGATGTCTCCATTAGGAGACGTATCAGATATTAAGCTGATAAGAACAGATACTACACTTTGATCTTAGCCAAAAGGCCGAGAAGCGATGCCGGTCGTCGGCTTGCGCCAGCCAAATACCTGGATACCCACAGCATCCCATTAAGGAGACGGATATTTACATCAGGCCCTTGAAAAAGTCACCACCAATATTACACGCACAAATACACGCTATTTCAGACCACGGACCTTTATCCACTGCTGTACTGAACCATGGCGCGGTGAGTAAAGACGTAACAGATATTACATGTGTGATACCGTTCACATTCATTACCTTCGTCAGCCTGTCTTCAACTTCAAATTGAACAGAAGCAGTAAAATCTTACAATAAAACATGTGCATAAAATACCGTATATATATTTTATATTTCTCTAATACTATACCATGTAAATAAAAACGCACATACAATTCTCCTCACCTGGACAGGTTAACAGCCTTTCCCACCCCAGACAACCATGGTGGATAAACTACAACAATTCCCTTTGCAATCATTTACATAATGACGGACCGGGTCACCGGACAGCTGGCAACGACGCACGAGATGCATGCACAAGTAGTTCAACCTGATCGCTTCCCAGCACAGGTAGGTTTGTACCTGTTGCTCTAATAATGTTATATGCTTGCTACATTTTTAAAACAACGAGTTACATTTGGCTCCTCCCACTAATTTTAGTAGCCAAAGCACGGGAGACCTATTGTAATTCATAATATTATTGAATGCGACTTCTGGGAAAAAGTTGTTCTTTAAAACTTCAAAGACTTCTTTGCGCTTTTTCCCCAAACCAAAATTAGATAGATAACACTGGAAACGCTTTTGAAAGCTTTACTTATTCATTTTACTTCATTTTAATTTTTATTGTTTTCTCTATTATTTATGTTTTATGTTGTATTATTCAAAGCAATATTTGATTATACTATGTCACTTCTGAAAACCGCTGTCAAAGTTGTTGATAAAAAACATCTGAGGAACATTATCCATGTGAATACAAGCGTATTTTAGCTAAAAAGGAAACAAAACCATTTTTATGACGTGCCCTAGATGAATGAAAAGAGTGCCAAACAAACTGACTCACAACTCCAGGCACACCAGCTCCAAAATCAAGCAAAAGGCTTCCAACAACGTACCAGTCACAATAAACAATACTAACACTCAAAACCCTATGTTTCGACAGATGAAGAAACTGGGGACTTCTTTATATCACCGACGGCCCAGGGATACATAACCGAATGTGTCATAAGTGTTTCCGACATTTACGATACGGCAGATTACCCCTTTGCAAAGCATCGACAGTCTGAAGGAAAGCGCGAGGACGATTATGGCCGCTCCTTCAAACACTCATTCGCATTTGGGAGACGATGTGAATTTCAACTACAGATGTATTTCACAATGACGAGGAGCTGTCAATTCTGAGCTAATGTTGTGATACTTCAACAAGGCCCTGGAGGAAGTTAGAGTTGTTTCCCATTCCCCTCTTTGTGGGTGTTCCATTTACCACGCTGAGTTATCTCCTTTGTACATCGTAAAGCCAAAAGTGTTGCTACCGCTTCCAATATGCAAGGTGTAATCGATGTTTTCCTTATGCATTAATGGCTCCAAATCCATGATGTAAGTAACAAAATAATATTTATAACATCATCATTAATGCATTGAAAAGTATATTTTCTCAATATACCATTGTATTAGGTATGTAATTTACTTAATCGGAATATTGTAAGGCTCAGCTACGGTAGTCACAAGATGGCGGATTGTCGTCTGCTCATTTCACTGTTCATGTATTCAAGGTATTTCAGCTTATTTAACAATTCATGTTGTGTAGTATTGTTTAAAGCATTCATAAATGCATTGTATTAAGCTTTTAGAACTTAACAAAGGTTATTTCTTATTTCCGTTTTACGACGCACACACACTCTACAACAATTCCTTATTATGCTACCTCTCCTCAGACAGAACATTGTCTCAATATTTGAAATCCCAAATTTATCAATCAATCAATCAATCAATCAAAGCTAAATAGAAATAGAAATAGAATATTTTTATTTTGGTGTGACTGGCATTAATTAATATGATAATACAATCAGACATTTTTTAGTAAATGTACACAATTTAAATTATGTAATTTCCTTTTGAAAATTATTAACAGAAACTATTGCCTTATTGGCCTGGGTTACTAAACATATTTGAACCTTTCTAAAACCAGTCATGTTTTAGTTTTATTTAAATTCACATTCATACCCAGTTTTGTTTACAAAAATTTGAAGCACTTTAATGTTACTTTGCAGCTGAACACAGAAGTATCATTTAGCTAAGGCACCATGAAGGTCGGGCTAGGATATGAACCTCCAGTAACCCATGCTTGGTAAGAGGCTGACTAACGGGATCAGGGTGGTCAGGGCTTGCTGACTTGGTTGACACGTCATCCACGGGTTCCCCACTCCTCAGATTGATGCTAGAATGCTGTTGATCACTGGATTGTGTGGTTGCAGACACGATTATTTACAGACTGCCATCCATATAGCTGGTATATTATTTCTGAGTGTGTATGACGTGAACCACACTCACTCACTCACTCACTCACTCACTCACTCCTCACTCACCTCACTCCTCCTCACTCCACTCTCCACTCACTCACTCACTCACTCCACTCACTCACTCTCACTCACTCACTCACTCACTCACTCACCACTCACTCACCACCACTCACTCACTCACTCCTCACTCACTCACTCACTCACCACTCACTCACTCCTCCTCACTCACTCACTCCACCACTCACTCACTCACTTCACTCACCTCACTCACTCCACTCACTCACTCACTCACTCACTCACTCACTCACCACTCACTCACTCTCCTACTCACTCACTCCTCACTCACTCACTCACTACCACACCTCATACATAGCTAAGACTATAATCATCAGTAAACATAAGTGAACAAATATTATTCATTGATGATGTACCGGTAACTGTATTACCTTGTCAACCATCACATTCCATCATGGTACATTGCTCGTTAATAAAAATGAAAGAAGTTGTGGACTTTTTACACATACTTGGTGAGTGCCAGTATTACATGAAAACATTTTTCATAAACCAGTTGGTGTTCTAACAGAAGCAGATAAACGGTTGTACATAGATGTTATTATTGAAAGAAAATTACCTATAGACATGGTTAAAAGAAAGATAAAGTGAACAATATAATGGAAAGTGACATGAAAAAGTGTACCAATACCAATACTAAAGTTAGTAATATGAACGAAAGAGTGACGAAGATGCCAACAACTAATCTACCACACTTTCACCCTTATGTATGAGTGACATGTGGAAATTTACAACATGGGTAGTTATAATCTGCCATTCAGTGTATGCTTTCTCAATGTATGACATAGGTCAGCTACTTTTAGTACCATAATTATTATGCCTTCCTTATTCCTCAGGTTTCTTGGAGTGTAAAAGACATCATTGTGGTATTCCTCTGCATCATACACATATTCATCAGTGTGATCTGGCAAGCCCTTCCTTCTGGCGTTCAGAGGACCACCTGGGGCCGTGTTGGGTAGTCTAGTGGTTAAAGCGTTGGCTTGTCACGCTTGAAGACCTCGGTTCGAATCCCCACATGGGTACAATGTGTGAAGCCCATTTCTGGGGTCCCCTGCCGTGATGTTGGTGGAATATTGCCAAAGTAAGTAAGTAAGTCAGTCAGTCAGTCAGTCAGTCAGTCAGTCAGTCGGTCGGTAAAGAGGACCACCTAGGATTAGTAGGAAGATATATTTCCTTGGATAGTGGGTTTTCACTTTAGTGCTCCCTTCCAGTGTTGTTACGTGAGACTCTTCCCTTTAGTTTTAGCAGCTTCAGGGGGATGTAGCATTCCATAAATAAGTCAGCTCACGTTGTTGTGCCTCATAATTTATTTCAAAACACCGCCATTCCCTTTTACAAGACGTGACTCTCTCATCTAAAATACTATTTTTGCAAGATGTTTATGCAAAGCTAATTAACAGTGAGCCACTACTGAAAGCATCGTTTTGTGACAATTTCTCAATTAGCAATCATATCTTTAATTAACAGCAAAATAGCTAACAATAAAATATATCTTACATAACACTTTGGAGATACCATCAATTGGTGAATTGTGTGGAGATAGGTATGGGAATAGTACAATGATGTCTCTCTCCCACTTAAAACATGTTGTGTTGCATGAAAAATCAAAACAAACACAGTTCTGAAAATGATCTAACACATCGCTCAGCTAAACACACACATTCAGCTTAAACACGCTCAATGACACCATTATTCGTGAAAACAATCCTTTACAAACACAGCCACACCTCCTCTATAATGTCCAATGTTGTGAACTTTTTGATGTACACTATTAAAATCACCAGCTGAGCACGGTAACCTGTTAGAAAGTGACTGGATGCATGATGAGAACAAACGAAACTTTCACTGAACCCTATGATGTCATAATTATCAATAAAGTTTTTAAAAGCTGACATAGGGCTGCCATATTTCCTTCATCCTTTAATACACCACATTAACATGTTTACAATGTTCTCTCCTACTTCCTTTTCGACTGGGCCTTGGTGGAGCCCTAGCTTTTGTTGGGAGTAGCCTCCCTTGCCTCGTGACAACTTCCACGTACATCAAATGTAAAACGAACTAGCATGTATGTTTCTTGACACTGCATGTCTGTAGCATGTGGGGATTCTTGTGAGGACCGAGAGAATATCCGATTCGTCCCGATACACACACAGCGCAGGTATTCTCCCAATCACACATGTACCTGTATTGATCAATGATAATTGTGTTAT